TTAATTATCTCGCAAACATGAAAAATTATACAATTACTATAAATGTAAATTAAGGAGATAAAGTAACGTGCATAAATGTTTAAAACATCAATTTATAACTAGAAAATTATACGTTTTTATTTAAAATTATTTATAAAATTCGAATACACATTTGTTACATTGTATTAAAATTCTAATATTAAAAAAATACGAATCGCTAAATAAAGAAGAGTATTTTTAATAGAAGAGATCAATTCTGTTTCATTGTCTCCTTTTTTCAATTTAAATGATCTTTTCTAATTAGTTAAAGTTTGGCATATAATAACATTGAAAGGAGGGGGGAAAATACTTCACCTTTAATATCAAAAACGATTTGTTTCTTTAGAAATAATAATAATAATAATAATGAATCGCTACTGTTTAAAAATAAAAATGTAGAAATATTAAAGGAAAATCGCGAGAATTCTTTTATCTTGATAAAGAATAATTTATTCCTTTTTAAAATTTCAAATAAAACTTTTCTGATATTTAAATTAGATGACATCATAAGAAAATGAAATTTCCGATAAAGAAAAACTATAAAAATTAACTTACATTATCTTTATCTATTATAAATCGCTCAATTTATTACTTTTTATATAAAATGCAAAAGTTATTTTATATATTTTTGTTAATTATTTTCATTTCTAAAAAATAAAAAGTAATATCAGAACAGACGACACGGAAAAAAAAATGGCGACATTCTTTGTCGGAAGGTGAGTTATTAATTACCATCGGGAGTAATCTAAGTTATAAATTAAAATGCGATTAATGAATTAAATATGTTCTTGAATGAATATTTAGTAGTTAAAACTTGTGTAGAATGCAATTTTTTAAAACATTTCTTTTTTATAAACATAAAATGTGTGATGAAAATATAATAAATTCTATACCCGAATACATCAACCTATCTTACTACGAACTTATAATATATAACCCATAATATTGGACTAAACATAAAATATTTTAAAATGCTTTATGGTAGACAGAAAACTATATAATACAGCATGTGTTTACTTTATACTGTATTATGATGTCAGCTTATTCTTATATAAGCTTTTTCATCTATATAGCATTTTGAAATATTTATTTAAGTAGATATGCTTAATGCTTATAGTTTTTACAAACTTATACAAAAAATAGAAATATTCTAATTATACATTGTGTAATGTTAATCAGTCAGCATTCATTCCATATGTGGCTTATCCTGTAGACAATTATATTTATAAATCTGAGTAAATAGCCTTTGACATTTGTAATTTAAAACATTACTATTTGAAAGTTTTTTTTATCTGTTTGGAATGAACACATGTTTATACATTTTGTTTTTTAAAAGTATTATTATAAAATTATTGAAAAAATATTTAAATTTAATAAAACAAATTATTACAAATTTTTTGATGCAATATCAGTGATAAATTGTTGACAAATTTAATGTAAAAAGTTTTTAGTAATGAGATAAATATTATGATGTTTATTTATCTTTCCCAATCTCACTCCACAAATTCGTTCATTTTTAGTCTTCAAGAATCTGATAATTTTATATTTAATTGATTTTATTATAGGCGTATGACATAATATAAGTGCAATTCCAAAATATCTTACATGAATAAGATATAAGCTATTTTGGAATCGTATTTCAAAACTCAATCGATTTAAGTATTTAAACTTATATATATATATGATTAATCATATCTACAATTAAAGCAAGAATCGAAATGTAATTCAATTGTACCCACTTAATTGTATAGAGAGGTTCTATAAGAGAATAAAAATATATCCAAAATTATGTATATGCATAAAAGATATAGTAAATTATAAGATATTAGTATGTAACTATCGTCCATAAATTAAATAAATATTTAATAAATAATTTATTTCATCTACGCTATCGCAGGTAATAGTGGATATACAAAAAGAGTCCCAAAATAGCACGCACGAAGAATTTGCGCGTTAATGAAATGCCACCATCTTATTTTATTTTAAATTTAATATTCACAAAGTAATTAATAACTATAGTATTTGAAGGATACAAGTTGCTAATAACGATACATTCAAAAAATAAATAAGAAAAATGCACCAAGAGCAGCTAAATGATCATTATTGAAAAAGATTGTATAATATGACTTAAATTTTTATAACTCAATTTTTATACAGTACTTTAATATCCATTTTTTGAAAATTTCTCTAAGATAATTTACTTTGTTTCTTCAAACTTAGTTTAGGCTTTATAGGTATAAGACTTAAACAAAGCACGCACCAATTTCTTTTAATCAAATATTCATATCTTGGCATTTATTCCTAAAACGGTCCCACCCTGTCCTAAATCGTACAGAATCTTTTTATCAGAAATTATTAGTATACATTAATTATAATTTGTTGTTTAGTTTATACAGTATATCAAAATTTGCTTAACTAACGAACAAATTTATAATTGAAATATTCATAATATTTTGTTTTTATGTATAAAAGTTTACATATATTTACTATTCTAAGGAAGCTAAAAATTTGAATTTTTTGTCAAATAATAAGTTTTTTTTAAGAAGAACTGATTCTATAAAGAACGAAAACTGAAAACTCTCCTGATAGAAATTTGACATTTACCATATCGTTAAGCTTTTGGTAACAATATAGCATATAAGCCTAGTATCAGAAGAGTATGGGATAGTAGTATTTCAATTGGAGATTAGTTCATATATGATCTTGAATTTTGATAAATTTTAACAACTTGCTACTTTTAAATCTTAAATTATTCTAGATTCGAGGCGATTTCCATCATTTCTAATATTTTATTTAGCTTTACAAATAGCTCATATATTTGTGTGCATGATATAAATTTAGCCTAGAATACAGATAAACGTTATTTTCTACATCACAAGAATTTAAAACTAGTAAAAGAATATGTTAAGTCTAGTTCTCATTCTATCATACTGTAGATATAAGATAAAATAATTAATTAAGAACACATCGAACGATAATCTTCTCTTTATAAAATAATATTTCTGCTATATATTTAATACAGTTTTCTTATATTAAATATTCTGAAATGTTTATCATTCTCTAATTTAAAAATTTCAAATGCAATATAAAATATGTATATCAGGGCTGGGCAAACCTTGTTACGACAGGAGCTATACCTAATATATCGCTTATCAAGAATACGAGAGCTGCATTCTCTATAGAAACTGTATTTTATATAATTTAATAATAATAATTAAATATACGTGAGCACAGTTTGGACACCGTATTGAAAGATCTTACCACTTAATAAAGTTTACTTTCTACTTCGTATTTCATATTTAAATTAAATTGTTCAGGATTAAAAAAATTGTGGCATAATCATTGTTACTAAAAATTCTGAAATAAGATATAGACTTAGTAAATTATAGTATGCAGCCAATTTAGAATATTCTGAACTTTGATCAAGAAAATTTCCATTATAAGAATGATGGATTATTTAAATATAAATTTTTGATTATTCATTTTTTATAAATAAAATTTATAGAAGATTTATCTGATTTAAGAGTAAAAATGTGTAATATTATTGCAATATATATTAATTTACATAATTAGAAGAAACGATAAATTTTGATTATTTCGTCTTTTAATAATTAAAAATAATTGCAGGCAAAAGCCCATTTTAAAGAGGAGCACCAAATACAGAATAAATTAAAACTGACATAATTTTTATTTAAAACTTTTTAAATAAGAGTGTTTATTGTAATAATTTAACCCCGTAAAATTAAATTGAAATACTAAGCTGTTATTAGGCCTACTCATTTCTTAGTATTTAAAATACGTGTAACCTAATTTAAATCCCACAGGCTAATTAACATATATATATAAAGGTCTATTGTTATTAGACAATTATAAGCTATTCAATATAAGTGTGATATACATGCTTTAAAACTAGAAAATTGCTTAAAAATTACGTAATAAGTATTTTACATTATACTTTAGTGATTACTTTCTCTTTATTTATATCAACATTAGTAAACCACGCAACCTTTTGAGACAAATAAATAGCAAGTAGTTCTATTAACAAAGCATCAAAATGTCAAAACATCTAATTTGTTTAATTTTTATTAAATATACTTAAGCATTCTAGATAAATTTAATGTTATATTGAGATTATTTGAATATATTATTGATTTATTACACATACACAAACATTAAATAAATGAATCAATTATACTACAAAATATTGCTGAGTAGTTAACAAAATTTAATAATCTATAGAATAGTATTTGCTGAATGTTAATTCTGAAAATGCAGTATTACAGGGATGTCTATAAATCAAAATGAAGATGATTTATCGCTTTGAAAACAATCTAATAAGTTGGATAAATTTAAATTAGAATGATTTAATGCTTCTCAAANCATCTAATTTGTTTAATTTTTATTAAATATACTTAAGCATTCTAGATAAATTTAATGTTATATTGAGATTATTTGAATATATTATTGATTTATTACACATACACAAACATTAAATAAATGAATCAATTATACTACAAAATATTGCTGAGTAGTTAACAAAATTTAATAATCTATATCTTAAATTAAATATATATATATATATATATGAAATTTCTGAAGGTCTACAATAAATACTATTACTGTAATTTAATAAGTTTATGAAATACTGCTGCAGAAATATTATTTTTATGTATTCTGTAATTTTATATAAATAATTAAATTCATTATATATGAAAAGCAGAATTGATTTACTTAAATTTGTATCGATTTTAAAATTATTAATATATTATTAACTAATAATAAATTCATTTTGCAGCTTCAATTAGATGAATTGGCATCGACGCCAGAATATTTTGTAGAATTAAAACGACCATAATTATAAATTTAAAAATAGAAACATAATAAATAAAATTGTAGTAGCTAACAGCTTTAGAAGTAAGAAAGATTAGATTTTCAGAAGAAAAAGATCATTAATAGAATGACAGGTTCAAATGTATACGTACCCTTTGAGCTTTCCTCTTATCTGCTCTTTGGCTTTGATGGTAGATACGGGAGAAGTTCGATACAATAACTGGAACTGGAAGAGCAATAACGAGCACCCCACTCAATGAACACACACCACCAACAATCTTGCCTGTAATTGTATCCGGGACCATATCTCCGTACCTGAGGGAAACAAATTACGTTTGTAACTAGAAGAGTGGTAAATATTTGAAAAATCTTTTAAATTTTCAATGTAAATCTAAGAAGAAAGACGTTAATAACTTACTTAAAAGTGTTGCTGTCTGAGAATGTAAATGCATCTTAATTAAAGTTAGTTGTAGCAAAGATAATTAAATTATGTATCTTTTTATTGGCTATTGAAAAAAAAGTGATCTAACCAGTTTATAAACTTCTTACAAGAACTATTTCTAATTATGGGTGTTACCAGAATTTTTTCAGCAAAATTTTTGTTATTGTTAGACTAAAAATTCCGCAAAACTTATTGCTAAATTTTCGAGTCTAATAATTGTATAATAACACAAAAATTTTGTCTTTTTAAATGTTATAACTAAAATACTTCAATTATAAATTTAAAAAAAAAGACAATGCATTTTTTTTGTATTATTAACTTAATAAAAAGTTAACACAAAATATAAACGTTTAATACAACAGAAAGTAAATTTCCACTTATTGTATCGATGCAAATTGCAAAATTAATTAGAAATCATGTTTTCTATTGAGATATGAGATTGAAGCAAAATAATTCTTTATTTTTTTCATTTAATCTTTTTATAGGTTAAAACCGAAATTGAATGCCATATATAAAATTCTATAAACTACTATATGAAAACTTCATTCCTTGACATTTTATTTTAGAAATATTCGAATGAATGTTTGGATTTCTGTTTGATTCAAGGTTCTTACATACTGTTTGATAAAATGACAGTTTTAATTTGTATCATAAAGTGTAATGCTTTTAATTGCTTTTAAAATATGAAAAGATTCTTGGTAAACTGTTTCCATTTTTGAATAAAAAAATAAATCAAACATTGGCATGTTTCATTTTATGCATTTAAAAACAGCACTTAAATAATTTGTCATGTTTTTAAAATAAATTCTAATACTGCTTCTGTTCAATAATTTCAACTTATATTTGCAATGTTTGATTCTTTATAATTACTATTACAATTTGTATAGAATGAAGCATTATTGGTTAAAGTGAAATCTCACTAGTTTCATAAGTTCTTAAACGTCTCTTTATATCAAATTTTATGAATTTAACCCTAATTTAGTGGCATGACAGGTCTAAAATAGACATTGCAAGGAAAAAAAATCAACATTCAGGATCAAGTAAAGAATGTATCATCGATCGCCCTACCTTTACACGTCCCTAGTTAGATAAAAATAAAACATTCTTAGACCAAAGATAAAATAACTTATGTCTATTACAAAGGATTTCCGCAAAGCAGTATTTTTATTTCCGCAATTAGATCTTTAACATCTAGATAAAGCATCCAACTGTGATTAGAATTAAATAAATAATTATTACGAGTAGGATTCTACCTCGAAGCACTACTGTATTCGTAATATCTGCATCATGCTTCATTTATATTTGATAATCAACATTAAACATTCCACAGTTCTACGCTATAAGACTGAATTCTTATGCAATTCCACCTCATTAGCTATTCTGAATATTTAAGATCCGAGTCGAAAGAAATTAAAAACATATGGTAAAAAAAATATGTATTTCGATTTAAAATATATTTCTGCGGTTAAAAATAAATATATGTACAGTACAAGTTTCTGTTTTCGTACTGAAAATATATCTTCTTATATTATTGTCAAATGTGTTATATTTATCAGTAAATCGATATTTTTTTTCTCTTTAGAAAATAAACATTTTATGCAGTATCGTTCAGATATTCCTAACATTTTTTCCTGTTATTTCTTGTTTTAGAGAACCAGTAGTGTTTTTCAATTGAAATTTTTAAATAGCGAAGTCTAGAAATGAAATATTAATACAGTTACACAGTATTTCGTGAAAACGTATCGCTCTTTAATGTTTCATGCAGAATGAAAGAGAAACAAATCAATGAGAATTCATAACTTTTCTCTGTATTCATATTCATGCTAAATAACAGGAATTCTAAAATGTACTCGACCAACTTTAACTCGAAGTTTTTCTATTTTTATTTAATTTTCTTCTATAAAAGAAAAAAAATTTCTAAAATTAGAAATTTCTGTTTATATTTTTAGCTAGTTTACGATTCTTATAAAAATTAAACTTTAATAACCGATTGTTTGCAATTTTAAATTTAAATAGGTTATATTTATCATTGCTAATGGGAAAAGATAGATTTAATCATGGTTTCTTTTAGTAAATTGTTTTCCTTCAAAAACTTAATGAAAAGTCAAACGGCAGAACTTCTTAAGCATTTTTTTTTTCTTTGATGATTTTTCATAACTGCTGCAATGAGGAACACGCGAATAACTAATGGACGATGGAAACCAACAGATGGGTATAAGATTTTCATTTATACTTATACACACACACACACACATATGTATATATATGAATATCATTTTATGAAAAATATTCTCTAAAACCCAAAACTTATATTACATATATATGTATAGGCTATATATATATATACACACACACACACACACACACACACACATATATATATATATATATATATATATATATTCATTCGTTACCTGTCCTGTTTATTAAAAAATTAACGTATAAAGTTAAATTCCCGTTCAAAACGTTTGCATTTAAAATTTCAAACTAATATAACGTATTTAATTCTTATAACTTTGCACATAAATAAAAAGAATCTCATAAAACATCAGTTTATTGTTTTATAATTAATTCATGCTTGATCTATATTCAGCATTGTTTATAACTGTACTGATTTTGTTTATATTTATTCTTTTATTCATTATTAACGAATTTGTCAGCTTAAAACGACGTTTATTGTCCTATCTGGGAACACAAAATAAGCCACAGTTGATTAAAAATTTCAAATCGATGATCCAAATTGGATACACAAACCGATTTTATATAAGTGCTATATGATAATCCTCTGTGATCCTAGTTACACGAGCATATAAATGACGTCATCATATTATTTCTCTCAGCTGCGAGACACACTTTGAGATATATATAACTCTCTATCGACCGGGTTTAGGTCACTGAAAACGCAGGGGGAGGAAGGGAACTTGCAAGTAATGTTCTTTAACCATTCCCATCTGCAAACAGACAAATTTAAATAGCATTTCTTTCTTTGTCTACGATTATTTTAATTTTTACACATTCCGAGCGTGTAGTTTTTATCAGACACTTTTTTTTTTATGCTTTTAAACAATTTAATCGGAACGGGAGCCAAAACAGTCACGCTTTAAAAAAGTTGAATAGAAAGATGTTTATAAAAAAGTAAAAAAATTATGTTCTCTTTAAACTTAAAACTAAGTTAGGGTATTTTAGTATGCATTTGATTGATTGAATTTGCTTTTGGAGAAAAATTTTATAAATTGCCACAGAAAATCCTGTTTAAAATGTTTTCTTTTTATTACAAAATTAGTAATATTATTTATTGTTTGGGATAATAAGATTTCCGTTGAAATCTTCAACTGTTTGAAAAATTTGTTGTCGCTTATGTTATAGAATGAGGAATTTTGTTTATGTCATTGAATAAATTTTTAGAAATTGAAAAGATAAAGAATTTCAATTTAAATTTTTACAAAATAAAAAAATGTATTTTATTTTTATTTTTATTTAATAATTAATTTATTGAAGTTTCTAAGGTTTACATATCTTTAAATACATTTTTTTTTGGTATTAAAAACGTATCGTAAAAGGTTTGAACGGCATTGATAAAATCAAAAACATACTCGTAGATGTTCATCTTAGTCATTCTATTTTATGAAACTTTTCTTATAAATATGAATAAAATAACTTGATGCTATTATCATGGCAATAACTTTCTGTTGTAATCAATTGAAAACTTTAATACACTTGCAAATATGACTATGTTATAAATATTTAACACGTAGAATAATTTTTTTGAATTATTCAAATATTATAAAAAAGCAATATAATTTTAAATTGTAGAAGCGGTGAAGATTTTAAAGATAATTTAAATTATACTGATTTGTATGCAGAATATTGATATTAATAGTAAATTACCTATAACTGTTATAAAAGTTTCGATAGTTAGGAATCTGGTCAGGAGTAAAATAAATCATAGAATTATCAAACAAATCAATAACATCTACTGGAGAATCACTCGTTACTCTCTAAATTACAGTTATTTGGATAGAATATGGCACTTAACCAATCCACAAAGGAATCGAAGTGATTTTTTAAAATAGATTCCGTTAAGAGGGGGAAATCAAAAGATATCTGGCAATCATCTCAACTTCTCCCTAGTATTATCGAAAAAATGTTTAAGGATATTTTATTAAAGTATTCATAGACCAACACGTGTTTTATTTATTTATATATAAATATATTACGTGATAAAATTGCGAATAAAAGTAACTTCTTTTTCCTGTCTGGTTGTGGCATTTCACGTCAAGAGAACTACGAAAACGAATATTTGATTCTATATTCGCAATACTAGGACTATACAGAATGTAAGATTTTCAGATTTATAAGAGTATTTATCAAAAATGCATACTTCCATAAAAATCCATTGCAATAATAAATATATTCAAAGTTTGGAAAGTTTTAACATTGTTTAAAAAAGCTTAAATTCAATTTGGATCTAGGAAGTGAGCTTTCACTTTTTTATTCGCTTTAATATGCCCCATTTGAAATTAAATTCCACGGAAAAAAGTAATCGGAATAACTATTTGATAGTTTCTTAATCTAGATAAAATGCTGGCAATTTAAATTTCCTCTTCTTTCTTTTTTTATCTTTTTAGAAATAAAAAAATCAATAATTGACACAGGTTCTATATAACTGATGGATCTGAATTTATTCTGTATTTTATTAGCAAGAATGTCGAAATAATACATAACTTTATGTAGTAATTATTAATAATAATGTTAAGTTTATAGATATGTAAAAGAAAAAAAATACTGGACAGAAATAAATAAAGCATTACAGGTAAAACTATTATTTTATTAAACACAAATATAATTTTTCTATAGAAAGGAAATATTTCATGGAAAGCACTTTCATCGATTTAAAAAGTTCAGAAATTAATATTTTATTCGAAAGATGGGAATAATAATGTTTACATTTAGAAAATTAGTTTCTGAGTCTGAAAACATTCAATTCATTCGCCGATTCAAATTCTAATTAGTTAATCGCGTCTTTATTCTGTTTATCAAATTTATTCTATTCAACAGGATTTACCGATTTCATATAGATAAGTTACGTTAAATTTACGTCAGCCAAATTACACGATGATTAATTTGTATAAAATTTAAGGAACCATCAGCAAGATTTATGTAGAAGAAAAAAATGGCATACTCTAGCAAAACGACTTTTACTGTTCGTTTTTCTCGAGAGCTACAGGCGGTTTCTTACTTGGTTTGGAGAAGAGCCAAGCGGACTGTGCTTAACATGTAATCATATACAAAACTAAACATATCCATACTCGAAATGTAGCGAATATCTATTTAAATTATTGACTTAGTAACGGAGTTGATAAACAAACGTTCCGTGTAAGAAAAATTCGATCTAGGTAATTATTTTATTACAGCGGTTAAAAAAAAACGAAAAAAAAAATTATTGAAGAAGCAAAACGCTGTTATTATGACAAAAATCGATAAACTTATCGGGTTTTTAACGTCTGTTCAAGTTCAGAAAATGTTGGTTAATCGAACAAGAATTAAAATCAAATGAAGACCCGTTTATAGAGATTGAAAATAGCTTTCCGTTCAGCCTCGATGTTTCGGAACGTGTCATAAATATCGAAAAATGAAAAGTCAAACGCTTGCCGATAACTCACCGAAATATGACTTATTCTTGCAAGAGGAATTTAGAAATTAATTGGTATTTTAGTTTATTGTTTTGTTATTAATGTTAATTTATTACTGTATATCAGCATTCGTATGTTTAAATGAATGGTTAATTATGATCGATAGATTTAATTATTTAAGCGGAAAATTACGGAAATAAAAAAAAAGGTTTGGTAGTAAAAGTTTCGTCTTAGAGAAGGGAAGATGTTACAATCGGTTTCGTCGCAATGCTGCATTTTATTCTGAAATCCATCTCGGCTTCTACCCCAATCTTTCCAAAGAGACAATTAAGGAAAGTCCGCCGTCACCTTGCAGTGGCAAGCGTCCAACTTCCACCTAGCATTAATCTAACAACTATTTCTCAAAAAGAAGTCTAGACTTCGCTTAAAAACGGTCGATCTTTAGTAATATCCATCCGTATCGATCAGAGGATGTTCTCTACTTTAAGATGTTTTTATAGTAACAGGTATCTGGAAGTCATTCTCCGCGTATAAAACTCGTTGGGAATTTTATTACACTTAAATTCATTCACCTGACTTTCTAATGCCTATTAATTTTTTTTTGCATTTTATTAAGTGTATATTTAAATTAAATTCGTCCTAGAAATTGAATAAAAGTACATTTTTTGATAAATTAGTTTTAAAAAATGAATAATTCCTTTACATCCAACCATAGTAATTTAATTTTATGTTGGTACCACGTCAGACAACTCTTACAGGATTTATGGAAAAGGATACGTATTAAAGTATTATTATAAAAAATGAAGTAGCCAACTTACCCCAATGTTGTCATGGTTACGATGGTGTACCAGAAGGCGGAGGGAATGCTCTTGAACGTAGTACCTTCGACGTTTTTTTCTGCGTAAAACATGACAGTAGCAAAAATGATGATGGCCATGGCCAGCGAGAAGACAAGGAATCCCAGCTCAGAGGCACAACTTTGGAGGGTATAACCAAGAATGCGGAGTCCCTGGGAATGACGGGAGAATTTGAAGATGCGAAACACACGAAACACACGGAGTGTAACAAAAGCTCCTGATACATCGTCATTGTCCTTAATTCCCAGACCGATGTAGTAAGGAAGGATAGCAACCACGTCGATAATGCTCATGACACTGCGTGTGTATTTACAGCGGCTGGGAGCGGCATAGAGCCGTAACAAATACTCTGCCGTGAAAATCATAACACAGGCGGTGTCCAGACAGAAAAACGCTGCTTTGTAGGTTTCCCCACAAGACAACGTTTCTCCTGTAGCTTCGTCTCGTCCACATGGAATCGTTTCAAAAACATTGGCAGCAACAGAAACAGCGATAAAGAAACCCGTGACGTAATAAAACACTAAGGCGGCGGTGCTGGTGTGAGGATTTTCGAAAGCTCGCCACATCCTCTGGCGAATTGTGCCGTGAGCCAACTCGTTCTGGTCATTCGTCTCGGACATTCTATCGTCCAGAAGACGTTCTGCGTTTTCGCGCTTCCGATCGCGGTATTCTTCGTAACAACAATCCCCGATGACATCCGGTATGATTCCGAAGAACGCCAATTCCTCATCGTACGACAACAGACACTCGTGTCTGGGATAGTGTAGCTTTCCTGTACGGTAATAGTTAAGGACGTGGCGAAAGATGTCCGGGTCTCTATCGAAGAAATACTCTCTACTCTCTTCATCGTAGAAAAATTCGCGTTCGTTCGAACCGAGCAACGTATCCGGAAACCTCTCGACCGTATTTCTCCAAGTCTGAAATTTCCTTCCACTAACATTAATGGTAAACTTTTCATCTTCTCGTTTCCTTCGCTCTTTTGTCACCGGCGGAGCTGGCAACGGATTATTAGCGATCGGTACCCATCCAATAGCCGCTGCTCGAGCAAAAGGTAACCAAGCTGCTACAGACGCCATAGTCACCTTAACCTTTAGCTTCTAAGACTCAAACCGCTAAAGTTAAGCCTAAACACCGACCACAATCCAACCTCCATTACATCTAGTCGAGGGTAGCGAAAATCGATGGTAGTCCCTCGTCATTGTCTTTGACATTTCTTATTCCTTCATTGTGAATATTACAGAAGAACATTATAGACAAATTCTAACCAATATTCTATCGTCTCTGCTTTTCTAATCGGTTATCTAACACTAGCGATCCGAACACTACAACCATCTCTACCGTCATGGTGGTTGACTGCTTGCGCTGTATACAGCTAAACCATGTAAGCTTTGCGCAAACTCTTCGTTCCCTATCTCCGTAGAGGTACACGTCACGTGCTCTTCACTAGATATTCCGTGACATAAAGATCTACAGGTTCACGTTCGTTCGTCCTGAATATTCATAGCGCACAGTTTGCATATTAGGAATTTATTTAATGTTTCCCGAATAATGCACGATCAATCGAAATATCAAGTCTCGGCCAGATCAAAAAATTCCTCGATTCCTATCTTTCCACTTAATGCTAGCTATTAGCGCCAATAATGCGTAAGGACATCGATCTTCCATGATGAGTTTCTACTTATTATCAGATGACAGAAATTTTATCTGACTTAAATAAGTTTAATCGATCTATAAGTTAACACGAAACGTCTTTCCATCTTGACAACTGAAGCCTTTTATCGATTACAAATATGTAATTCGTTTATTCCTGTCAACAGGGAGTCGAGAATCGATCAGACTCGATAAACTTCCGAGCCAAGTAGTAAATCCCTTTTGCACAAATTATTTATGCATATTATTTACGTTGGAATAACAGCTTCTGACTCTATTTCAAATTTCCATCTTTTTACTTTTAGCTTTCTTCTACGATGTTCTTATTCATCTTCGCTTCTAAAGTGATATGTAATTTTCTTGACCGATTTCTTACATTTTGAATTTATTAACTTTTCCTGGAATTTAAAGGCAAACGGCCAAAGTCTTTTAAAGTTTTTATGTAAAAGAAATTCTCAAAAATGCTTGATTCTTTCACAGAAAATCATTTGTATGCTAGAAACGATGATCATTTAACTTGTTCAATTAAACTGTTAAGTTGAAATCTGTCTTTATTCAAAATGCTCGATACACTTCTTCCTATCGAAAATTGTTTCCGTTGAAATAAACTATATAAAATGTAATTTTGGATAATATATCTTTTCATCCTGATTATGTAGTTTCGCTGCTTAACCAGGAAAGTTTACGGTAGAAACTATTTGACAGGCGCATTTTTTAAATGTATTATAATATGCATATATTTGCGTATTTATGAAACGAAATTAATTTTAATAATGCAGTAAATAATTACTTAATTTAAAAATTCTATTTTTAATTAAAGAGAAAAATATTCGAGTCGAGAAGATTTTCTTTAATGGAATGTTTATGAATATTAATTCGATTATCCTATTCATAGCCAGCTCATTGTTATGCCACTCATAGTTTCACTAATGCGTTTCCATGTCAAGTTTATATTGAATCAATCTGAACTGTTTAGATCGTTTCGTGAAATTACTAGTAATGCAGAAAGCTATAAATTAATCTCTTGATAACATCACAGCATTAATTATTCAATTTTATCCGGATAAATTTTAAAATTAATAAATGAATTTATCCTTGATAATTGATAACTCTAAAGGGTTTTCTTTCTTTTATAGTGGTTTTCTAAATAACATCTCGAGAGATTCGGTAATATCTCAATCAGTCAAGTTCGATCACGCTTGTCAGATAATATTTCCGATTATATCTTTATCAACATATATATTTTTCTTGTCGGTAAACAGGCTTCACATAACATAAAAATATTGATTTAGCCAATTCTATCCGCTTAAGTAATTTTACTTTACGAAATATTTTACAGTTTGTTTAATTCTATTTATTTTTATCACTTTTGAAAATTTATTTTTTTAAATAAAATTTCGATTAAATGTTATGTTGAATCTCGATTTAATTAAATTTTAATTAGATTTATATATAACATTATTTCACATGTAAATTGTTAAATGTTTTTCTTTATAAACTGGAATTGATAAAAATTTAAAAGGAAATATGTTAAGAAAAGCGCATGGAATCTATCAAATTTCGGAAGATAAAAAAATTCGTTAATAACTACATTGATGTTTTCATAGAATTATAGCATATGCAGGATAATTATTTTAATATTACATCGATTGAAGTAAATTCGATATCGTTGCATTTGTATATTTTTAAATTTCAAGTTTTTAATCCTTTCGTCAGAATCTAATGAAGAGGGATCATTATCGAATATGCATTTATTCTATTCATATGTGGAATCTAAAATTAACGACCTATTTAATTTGAAGTAGACACGAATTTATCATAAGATTCTATCGATAATAGTCATTAACATTTTTTAATAGTTTAAAATATTTTAAGAGGTTGGTTTATATCTGAATCGATTAATACGTAATTGATGGATAATTTATCGACTGAGAATACATTGTAGTGCTTAATTCATCTCGAATAGGTTTTCTAGTATGAATAAAGTCATAGAAAAAATGAGTGAAAAAATAATTAAAAAATTTGCTTTTTGCAACATATGATTTTGACACTATAAATGTTACATGTTCAATACACAAAGCTGATTTTTTGTCAATCAATGTAAAAATAATAAAACTCCAAAAGTATTATTTCACATTGAGAAAAAAACTTTAATTTACCTTAAAATCTATCTGTGAAGATAGATCTAAATTATTTGATGTCAGAGGAGTTAACCCAGCTATTCTAGAGTAGTAAGTTATGCTGGCAAAAACCTGAGTGTCTGGAAATCAGTTAATGCTTGGTAAAAACCAGTTTTTGCTGAAATATCAGCTGCTGAACAGATTTTCTGACAATTTCAAAACCACGTTGAATTCAGTAAAATTAATTATTATTATTGTATTTTATCGTTAATAGTAAAAATTGGATATTTTATTAATATGTATTAAAGTACAGAAATAGTAAATATTCTCATATTTCTATACAATAATTTAAAAGGAATAATATATTCTAATATATTTCTTTGAATAATATATATTTTTTTGTACATGATTTTCTAAGTATTTTTTTTTATAACTATATAATATGTAATATGTAACTATATAATATGTATAATACATAATATATACGTTTTCTTTTATGAAAGATAAATTAGAAATTCAATAGAAATATTTCATTTTTAATGATTCAAATATAAGCATTATTCTGATAGCTAAAGCAGATTTATTAATTAATATATTATAAAGAACTAGCAGATATGCCATGCATTGCTTGAGCAATATGTAATAAGGACTAACATTAAAATTAAAAATTTGGTTATCAAATCAACAGAATTGTGTGATATCTTCATTAATTATTACACACTGCTTACTTGTATAATAATGCAGTGTTTTTCAACCTTCTTGAATACATGACTCCTTTACAAGTTAAAAACATTCTGGCGACCCCCCAAGGCCATATTAAAACTATATCAGTGATTTTAAAACTATGTATTTAATTTTCTTTCTGTTGAGACCTAAATATTGATCAAAAAACCAATTGTACTGTAAAATAAACACGCACAACCTTCTCACTGAAATTGTAGTTTTTTTTATTGTAGTGTAGGACCTACAAACACTTGTCTTTTTCTTTTACCCGCAACCCTGTGTAAGGCTTTGTGACCCCCCCTGGGAGTCGCGACCCACAGGTTGAAAAACACTGTAATAATGCATTAAACTTAAATTATCACAAAGTGAATGAAATAAGGGGGAGTGGACAGTGTCTAGATTTTATGTTAATGTTAGTCTATATGTTCTACAAAGTCCAAAAGTATGGAAAATTTCTCTATATATATATATATTGTAATATATATATATACAATGACTTTATAACCAGTTTTGAAAACAAATCTTCAGTTTTTGCCAAAGCTGTAGTTTACTGAAAACTATTTTTGTTGCCAGAATAGACATGGGATCAAGTCTGGGTGAGAACCTCAGAAATTTTCCTTTGGTGATCTACAAGTATTACAGATATGGGCCCACCACTGGCTGAGTATAAATAACCACTAAACACTGGTACTTAGTTGGTTGTGAATTTGCACCTTACCAACATTGTTGGCACAGAATTTTTCAAATTTTCATCACATGCCTAATGCCTAAATAGAGACTAGATTTCTATAGAAAGTTCTGACAGACATTACTCTTCCAGTGGCAGATTGCTCATGTGCTGCATTTTCTTATTCCATCAAACCTACAATCCTGTTTTGGATATGTCAAGTCTTGTCCATCTCCACCCAGCCTTTCCCATTGTGGGCCTGGTCAAATCTATGATGAATATGATTAAAAAGGTTTTCTAATGCCCATAGGATAGAAAGTAAAAAAAAATTTAGTTTTGAATTTTAATAAAATCCTAAATTTTGTTACTTAAATAATATAATAATATATAGTAATAGGGTATTATAAACAGAAAGAAATTTTATTTAAATATTAGATTTTTATTAAAGATTATAACAAATTAGATAACATATTAAAAACAATAATATTTTAAGAATAAAGTAAATACATATATTTATATATTTCATTATTATTTTCTTCTTTATTCAAATCATAAAGACTGTCATAAATAATCACTGTTCTTGTAAAATTATAAAAAATTTCATAAGTAAATTCTTTTTATAGAAAAATATGAGAATATGCAATTTATTCCTAATTTTATTTTCACACCAAAAGGCTTAAATTAATGAAAATTAAATCATTTAAAAGATGAATGGATACAATTTGAGTTTGTCTTGTTAATACTACCCTGTGGAAGTGCTTGCAGTATTTTCATATTTTTGAAACAGTGAAATCCTAATATTTTACATTAACTAGTATTCAGTCTTTAAAAGTAAATAAATAGCAACACATTTGTGATGTTAAGCCAACATAAAATCCCAAGTCAAGGAAGATACTTTCCCTCATCATATTGCATTTTGTAATATCTACAAATTTTATACATAAACAAGCTTTTGTTTTAGTTTTATATTAACAGGCATTTATTACAACATTTAAACAAATATATTTCTATGTTGTTGGTCCCATGGAAATCATCAGTTCTTCAGGTTCTTCATTAATTTTATTCAGACGAGATACTTCATTTGAAAGAAACTCTAAATCCTGTAAAAAAAAATAAGATGATGGTAAATAAATAATATTTCACAAACTTCATACTATTTATTTTGTATTAATTACTTCAAGTAATTAATACAAAATAAAGTAAGGGAACAAACTTGTTTATTTTCTTTAATAAAAACGTTTTTGGCTACTATTGAGTCATCTTCAGTTAAATTGTTTTTTATTCATTCTTCTTTGAGAAGTTCTAAAAAGCAAAAGTTGTAACTGAAGATGGCTCAATAGTATTTTTATTTCAACATTTTTATTAAAGAAAATAAACAAGTTGGTTCCCTTAAATTAAGTAGATTAAAGTAATTAATAGTAAACAAATAAAATGAAGTTTCAGTATGCACTTTATAATTTACATTTTATAAACATATAAGCAAAGGGCCTAGCCAAAAAAACCTGTGAAAAGTGCCCCCAAATTAAATTGAATTTTCTATATAGCATATGACTTGTCTTGATGTTTAAACCATAGTGTAGCAATTTGAGTCCATAACTCTCTTTGTTTCTTAGGAATTGAGGAAAATGTGGTTTTAAGTCTTTAATTTTTCTTTACTTTATTAACAAATTTTTATGTATGGTGCCATTTACATTATCATTTTACATCTAAAAAATTTATTGGGTGCAAATTTTTAAAAAGTAGATAATTTAAGTTAAATGTTAATGGATTTCTGTAAAAGCATTTCCAAGAGACGAAAAAAAAAAAAGCATTTTCACCAGATTTGTTTTAAAGTTATGAATGGTAGTTAAAAAAATTAAAAACTTTTTTAATAATCAAAATTTTATTTTGCCACAAAATGGTGTTAAAAATGATCACAGAATTTCTTTATATCTCCTATACTTCAATCAAAAACATGGCCATATAAAAAAATAAATGCGCTTTTTTAGAAAAAGTAATATACTTTTTTCAAAATATTTAATAATAGCTTTACTGTATTGGTTTAATTGTTTTTGTTCTAATTCAAGAATTGTAACATTAATATTATTATGAGTTCTTTCTAATTATATATTTCTATGCCGATGGTAAAATGGTTGCATCCTTATAGTTTAAACATTTTTTCTTTAAATATCCATAGTTAAATGGGAAGAGGCCAGAATCATTGCAAATGTGCACTTGCCAATGCCTGCATCCACAACAGAGAAGTGTGAGATCTACAGATCTAGCTTAACAGAAAAATGTTTAAACTATAAGGATGCAATCATTTTACTGTCGGCATGGAAATATATAATCAGAAAGAACTCATAAGATGATACATCCACCAGGCTCAATAAAAACCTGAGTAATATTATTAGAATTTCCAGAATAAAAAAACAACTAAAACTTGAATGACATTGAGAATTTCTCATGAAAATCATCATTTAATGAAATTCTATAAAGCTTTACCAAATTAAACTGATAAATACTCAAAGGCATTCCTCCAAAAATCAAAAATGTAAAATCAATCTATTATACCAGTGTTTCAATGTATTTGAAAATTGTTTAACTTTCTTTCAAATAACCTTTTCTTTACCAAATGACTAGGTCAGCAACAATTTCCTGGAAATTTATAAACAATTGTTAACTGGCATCAAAGGGGACATTCATAATTTTAGTTGATAATCTATAAATTTGTGACTTGAAAAAACAACTCTTAAAAAAGGCATTTCATAAATTTGTGTTTTTGAAAAACATCTTTTTTTCTTTTGAAACAAATGACAGACCATCTATCGATGAAGAATCTAAACTAATAATGTTACTGTGGCAAGTTTCAAAATACAACAACAACAAGTATCCCAATACAGTGAAGCTGTAATTAAATATTTTGAAAAAAGTATATTACTTTTTCTGACAAAAATAAGCACAATTTTTTTATATGGTTAAGTTTATTCACTAAAGTGCAGTTTTTACAAGGAAATTCTATAATAATTTTTAACACCATTTGATCATGAAATAAAATTTTGATTATTTAAAAAATGTTTTTAATTTTTTAACTACCATCACATCTTTAAAAAATCAGACAAAAATATTTTTTCACAATGTATTTCCTCCTGGAAATACATTTACAGAAAAAATAAATAGAGATGATATTGTCATAGTTTTGATGAGAAAAATGTATTTACAATTTTATTTCATTTTTTAAATTTGCACCCAATAATTTTTTTTTTTCAGATGTAAAATAATAATGTAAATGATATCATATTTAACAAATTTTTTAAATATGTTCATAAAGTAAATAAAAATTAAAGACTGAAAATCATGTTTGTCTCAATTCCTGTGAAACAAAAAAGATTAATTGCTACACTGTGGTTTAACACCAAGATAAATATGCTATATAGAAAATTCAATTTGGTTTGGAGCACTTTTCACATTTCACTTTGTGGAGGTACTTTATTCAACTATACTCTTTAATGCATTTGTATCATGTAGTTTAATTTAAATAACAACATGTATTAATATTTATTAGATTTGTTTAATACCAATTTTCTGATTTTGTTATTAAATTTATAAAAATTACAGAAATATTTTTCAACAAGCTATAAATTGAGAAATGTGCCAATGAAGTTTTATTTAGCTTGCATAAAAATATAATGAATGATTAAATAATTATAATTCTAACAATTTTACACCAGATTAGATAAGGAATTTAGAATTATCATCATCCATTTTAATGAAAATTAATTAAAAAGGTAAGAAATCTATTTTTTATTTTCATATTTGTCTTCATTTTAATTTTTATTACTGAATCTATTATTCAAATTAAAAGAAAATATATGATCATTACTTGTTTTTTTTAAATTGCTATTTCAATTTAATTAGTATTTTTTCTTCAATTAACAGTTAAATTAAATTATCTATTTTTTGTTAAGAAAATCTTAGTATTATTATTGCAAAATTGTTTAATATTTTAAAATTTATTTTTTTTTAGTAGAAAAAAAAGAATTGTTTTTTGATATTTCAAACATTTTTCAACGTCAAAGAATAGCAATTGAATAACAAATCCATTGAATTATTTTCAGAAAATCATAAAATTTAATAGACAAATATTTTCTAAATTTCAGTCCTTATTTATTGAGTTTGAAATTATTTCGTTCATTTATTTTTTATCTTTAGTATAAAGTCCTTACTTTTTGTAAATGCATATTTTTTGTTAAAGTCTCTTCTAACATTCTTTGCATACGACGATTCCTTTCCCTCAAATTCTCATCTCCTTTATCCTTGATAAAATCCATAACTCTTCGTACTGTTAATTTATCATGTGAAATCAGATGAGAATCTAAAAATTTCAATAAAATAATATATAAGTTAAAGTATCTTATATAAAAAATATATATATATATATTATTTGATTAATATACAGTGGGTGATCGGTTAATGAACATAATCCATTCTAAGACTTTGTTCGCTATTCGAATTGTTCGTTAACCGATATCGATTTACCATAGGTTTCTATAGGAATTTGATTAATTCGTTCTGGAAACCACCCAAAAATAAAAAATATATACTTTCTTACTACGTTTATTCACATGTAATAATAAAAATACATATATACACAGTCTTGCATTTTTATTAGTCATGCTTTTTCTGTTTGTGGGAGTTAAAGAATCTGTCCAATGTCGCTTGCTTTTCTCTCTTCCTTATGATTTTTCGTAAGTAATTAATAGCATTGTAATTGTAGAGATCCCTAGGCCTATTAACCTCAATCTGGTTTGGATGCCATTTTAAAACCGTTGTTCTGACATCCTCCTACTTCTTCAGAAGATCTTTAATAGCAGATATCGGCATACATCTGCTTTTTCAGAAGAAAACATAAAAGAATTGTTTCTGTCAGAAATATAAAAGGCTGGAATTACAAGGGAGAGTTTCAAAGTTTGGGGGAATACTATCCAATCGGTATATACAGGGTTGAACGTTGATGTCGACGTCTCCCACACTCCGAAAAGTTTTGAATTGTTGCCTGAAGAGAAAGGAAGACCAATCGGTATTTGTTATTTTACATCACTTCTTATGTTTGTTCAGTGAAGTGTTCGTTGTCCGATCATAAAAATCTTTCGCAAAAGTGTTCGTTATCTGATTTGTTGGTTAACCGATCACCCACTGTATATATAAATCAAATAGATAAATGAATAAAAATACTATGCAAATTTTAAAACACTTCTAAATAGTAACTACATAGTATAAACATAGATATATCTTCTATAATAATAATAATATATTTTAATTATTCTGGTATTCTAATTTTCAATTTCAATAATCATCTTTAATATATTAACAAACAATTTTCTTGCAGAGATTTAATAATAAATATATTAATGACAAATAGAAAAATATATTTATAGATTAGATTTCCTTTCTGTTAAACTGTGAACAATGTATTAAAGTAACAAGCAATTATTTATTGTTACATTGACATAATGCAAGGTTGCACTTTTTAATCATATTTTTAATTAATTTAATTTAAAATATATGCTCTTCATATCAAATTAATAGTGTCTTGTCCCTGTACATCACACTTTTCCTTTAACAATAGAATCATGTTGGTCATTTATCTAACACCTTACAGGGGAAATTTTTGAATTGAAGTAACATGACTTCTGATGCAAGCCAGAACTTTGTATGTAATTATTTCATATATCTGACTATGTTCATTGAAATTAAGGAATGACAGACAGACATATGGATGACAGTGAGAATTTATAGGTCTACAATTTTTTCAAATTGCAGCCCAATGAATTTCCAAAATGTTTGACACTATTAACTAGTAATATAACAACATACATACACAATTTTTGTTGTTACAAAATATTAAATACTATATATATTCATTATTATATTTATATACCAAAATTATTGACATGTATACAGGAATACATACAAGACAAATGCTAATATTAAATTCTCTTTCTGAAAACTAAGTATATTTTAATTTATATAATTCCACATACTCTTAAGATTTTGTAAAGTTTTGAGTATTATTTAAAAGAAAAGAATTTTCATTTAATANAATTAATAGCATTGTAATTGTAGAGATCCCTAGGCCTATTAACCTCAATCTGGTTTGGATGCCATTTTAAAACCGTTGTTCTGACATCCTCCTACTTCTTCAGAAGATCTTTAATAGCAGATATCGGCATACATCTGCTTTTTCAGAAGAAAACATAAAAGAATTGTTTCTGTCAGAAATATAAAAGGCTGGAATTACAAGGGAGAGTTTCAAAGTTTGGGGGAATACTATCCAATCAGTATATACCGGGTTGAACGTTGATGTCGACGTCTCCCACACTCCGAAAAGTTTTGAATTGTTGCCTGAAGAGAAAGGAAGACCAATCGGTATTTGTTATTTTACATCACTTCTTCTTATGTTTGTTCAGTGAAGTGTTCGTTGTCCGATCATAAAAATCTTTCGCAAAAGTGTTCGTTATCTGATTTGTTGGTTAACCGATCACCCACTGTATATATAAATCAAATAGACAAATGAATAAAAATACTATGCAAATTTTAAAACACTTCTAAATAGTAACTACATAGTATAAACATAGATATATCTTCTATAATAATAATAATATATTTTAATTATTCTGGTATTCTAATTTTCAATTTCAATAATCATCTTTAATATATTAACAAACAATTTTCTTGCAGAGATTTAATAATAAATATATTAATGACAAATAGAAAAATATATTTATAGATTAGATTTCCTTTCTGTTAAACTGTGAACAATGTATTAAAGTAACAAGCAATTATTTATTGTTACATTGACATAATGCAAGGTTGCACTTTTTAATCATATTTTTAATTAATTTAATTTAAAATATATGCTCTTCATATCAAATTAATAGTGTCTTGTCCCTGTACATCACACTTTTCCTTTAACAATAGAATCATGTTGGTCATTTATCTAACACCTTACAGGGGAAATTTTTGAATTGAAGTAACATGACTTCTGATGCAAGCCAGAACTTTGTATGTAATTATTTCATATATCTGACTATGTTCATTGAAATTAAGGAATGACAGACAGACATATGGATGACAGTGAGAATTTATAGGTCTACAATTTTTTCAAATTGCAGCCCAATGAATTTCCAAAATGTTTGACACTATTAACTAGTAATATAACAACATACATACACAATTTTTGTTGTTACAAAATATTAAATACTATATATATTCATTATTATATTTATATACCAAAATTATTGACATGTATACAGGAATACATACAAGACAAATGCTAATATTAAATTCTCTTTCTGAAAACTAAGTATATTTTAATTTATATAATTCCACATACTCTTAAGATTTTGTAAAGTTTTGAGTATTATTTAAAAGAAAAGAATTTTCATTTAATAGAATTAATATGAATAATAATATAGTTTTATGAAAACACATTTTTATTTTACTTTTAAATAAAATATAAAAATTATATAAAATATGAATTAATGTTGACCAGTGTAGATTTCTATTACTGTGTGGTTTAAAGTAAAGAATAGGTATAGTGCATAAACTGAAATTTATGGAAATATTATATTAATTCTATTAATTCATACATGCAAACTACAATTTTTTCATTAATCTATAATCCTGAGTACAACTTTTAAATTTCAGTGTATTGTTTGTTACATATTTTGATTTTTCTAATATGCCTCTCTAAAAAAGTTCCCTTAATCCCTGTTTCCCTATTTTCTTGCTCCCCTTTGATTTTAACTTTTTCATTATTAACAATCTTTGTGAAAATAAAGATGACAAATATAAAATTTAACATTCAATTTTTTATTCTTATGAAGAATCAAACAACTCCACTTTTCTTTTTAACTTAAGATAATACTTTTCTCCCTTAAAAAATTTGTACCATCTGTTACAATCAGGTATAAAGTTTAACATTCTGGTTTTAAACTTCAAATTTGCAGAAAATTATGGTTATTGAGTAGTTAAATACAAAACAGAATAAAAACAAAACACATTCTGTCATTCTCTTCTGTAGTGAAAATATGCCATGGTTACCAGTAATGTGACTGTGCATCATTTACTGTAAATGTTTGTCATTAGGTGGGATTTGGACTTGAGTGAAATGATTTGTGTATGTATATGTATTAGTGATGTAAATAATATTTGGTTACTATTCGGTATTCGGCCAAATACCTAAAAACAGGAGTAAGAAATAACAAAACCACAGTAAATTAATCATTTTGGTATTTAGATTTAATGTTATTGCGTTAGTGTTGTTTGTTTATATTTGTTTATAACTTATAACATGCACAAAATAAAAAAGAAAACAATATTAGTCACATGTATTCACAATTTATAATTACAAGGATCAGCACACGTACACACCTATTCGTTCAAGAATCATCACACATCTGAGGGTCTGACCCTGCCTATCCTTCTTTTTAAGTGCTCATCTTTGCTCTTCCCTTTCTCTTACCTCTATCGCTCTAGTTTCGTATGCCTATGCATACATCATTATACATGCTCATGATACTTTCGATTTGTCACTGTTCTGTCGTAGATTTCCCATTTTACAATTACGCAACTCATAGCCTGGTGATAAAGGAGAAAAGAGACAGATATGACGTCAAATTAAGTCACAGTTATGATTTCACAGATTCGAGACAGCTTGGTAGCCCGAACGACCCCAAGCTTTCGCCCGTGCACGCTAAGTGACTTTCATTACAAGCATTTAGCTTTCCGAAGTCTATGACAACAATTGTTTGGCATTGACGGCCACAAATTTTGCGCCAATAAGCTGCCTTGACTTGTTTGATTATGTTATCAACTGAATTTCATATTTATTTTCACATTTTCACGGTCCTTCTCTGTTCTTTTTCCGTTATTTACACATGAAGGACCGTAAAAATGTGAAAATAAATATGAAATTCAATTGATAACATATTCGAACAAGTCGAGGCAACTTATTGTTATCCACATTTGATATCATCATTTATCACATGCTGCCATGATGCTCTTGTCTGTCCGCTACAACTGTCAAGAATTAACATGATTGGCGAAACGTAGTGACAGCGGGCCAATAGAGAGCAGGGTCCTTGCCATAATGCGGTTTGCGCGCCAATTTTCATATGTGCGTTAATCGAGCCGAATAGTTTGGCCGAATATTCAGCTATTCGGCCACGCTCCTGGCCAAATATACGGTATTCAGCCTCAGGCCGAATATACTATTCATTGCAGCACTAATATGTATATAATATTGGGTTGTTTGGAAAGAAATTTTGTTATTTTACTACCAGGGGATTAGTTGTATTTTTACTCACCAAC